TTTAATAACAATCAGATAAAATTCGCTTGTCATTATTGTCTTTTTTTAGCGATATATAAAAATATTCTATAATTTGGCGAATATAAAACAGAAGTATTTAACAAAAAAACTTTATATGATTCTCAAGATGTATAAAATATCTTTTATATTATTATATACATCTTTATAAAAATACACATAAACATAAACTATATACTATGATATATATATATCTACATTTAAAAAAAATAAAATAATGTTAAAAATGCATAAAGGAACTTTTTAACTTAGTATGAAGCGGCACTGTAAATGTATCTCTATATAAATGTATCTATCTATCTATCTATCTATCTATCTATCTATCTATCTATCTATCTATCTATCTATCTATCTATCTCTATCTATCTATCTATCTATCTATCTATCTATCTATCTATCTATCTATCTATCTATCTATCTATCTATCTATCTATCTATCTATCTATCTATCTATCTATCTATCTATCTATCTATCATCTATCTATCTATCTATCTATCTATCTATCTATCTATCTATCTATCTATCTATCTATCTATCTATATATCTATCTATCTATCTATCTATCTATCTATCTATCTATCTATCTATCTATCTATCTATCTATCTATCTATCTATCTAGATATCTATCTATCTATCTACCTATCTATCTATCTATCTATCTATCTATCTATCTATCTATCTATCTATCTATCTATCTATCTATCATCTATCTATCTGTCTGTCTATCTATCTATCTGTCTATCTATCTATCTATCTATCTATCTATCTTCTATCTATCTTCTATCTATCTATCTATTATCTATCTATCTATCTATCTATCTATCTAATCTATCTATCTATCTATCTATCGATCTATCTATCTATCTATCTATCTATCTATCTATCTATCTATCTATCTAATCTATCTATCTATCTATCGATATATCTATCTATCTATCTATCTATCTATCTATCTATCTATCTATCTATCTATCTATCTATTATCTAGCTATCTATCTATATATCTACGCTATCTATCTATCTATCTATCTATCTATCTATCTATCTCTATCTATCTATCTATCTATCGATCTTCTATCTATCTATCTATCTACATCTTCTATCTATCTATCTATCTATCTATCTATCTATCTATCTATCTATCTATCTATCTATCTATCTATCTATCTAGCGATCGATCGATCTATCGAGCGAGCGAGCGAGCGAGCGAGCGAGCGAGCGAGAGCGAAGCGACGAGCGAGCGAGCGAGGCAGCGAGCGAGCGACGAGCGAGCGAGCGAGCGAGCGAGCGAGCGAGCGAGCTAGCGAGCGAGCGAGAGCGAGCGAGCGAGAGAGCGAGCGAGCGAGCGAGCGAAGCGAGCGAGCAGCGAGCAGAGCGAGCGAGCGAGAGCGAGACGAGCGAGCGAGCGAGCGAGCGAGCGAGCGAGCGAGCGACGAGCGAGCGAGCGAGAGCGAGCGAGCGAGCGAGCGAGGAGCGACGAGATCGAGCGAGGAGCGAGCAGCAGCGAGCGAGAGCGAGCGACGAGCGGCGAGCAGCGAGCGAGAGAGCGAGCGAGCGAGCGAGCGAGCGAGCGAGCGAGCGAGAGATCGAGCGAGCGAGCGAGCGAGCGAGCTATCTATCTATCGATCTATCTATCTATCTATCTATCTATCTATCTATCTTATCTATCTATCTATCTATCTATCTATCTATCTATCTATCTATCTATCTATCTATCTATATCTATCTATCTATCTATCTATCTATCTATCTATCTATCTATCTATCTATTTATCTATCTATCTAATCAAAAAAATTTGAAAAGATATAACACAATAAGATATAAAACAATAACAAGTTTTTACTTTATTTAACTATTAAGCAAAAATTTGCCCCTACCAACATAAAACACATTGGAATTTAAGTCCATGGTGACATTCGTGACAAAACCACCCATTATCGACTGCGACAACGACCCCGTAATAGGAACGAAGCTTAAAAAATTAATAAATGTAGAATATTTGTAAATGAAAACTTCACATTTAAAAGAATCAAATAAAAGATCTTTCTGCCATCGCATCTTCGGATTGAAGCTGAGAATTTTCATTATTTTCCTCACCCATTTCCTTGAAGAAAGAGTAGCTGAACCAGAAAATGGCAAATTCTATAACTAGGGAGTAAGAAATATTAATCGTTATTTATGAAAAATAAAAATTGTTTAACATTCATACCAAGTACCAACACAACAATCACAAAAATTACCAAAATCATTAAAAATGGAATACCAAATACTGCAGCTGCATACAACCCTGTGCCCCCAATTAAAATAGTTCCAAATATAATAAAGACACAAAGCCACAGCCAAGGAATTATCAAGTACTGATATCTCTGTAAATATAACGAAATTATTATGTTAAGTTAATTGTAATTCAGCTGGAAGTTGTTTTTTCTTACCTTAAAAATACCCACTATAAATAAAACAGATATTAAAACTGCCACAGCACATAATACCATTGATTTGAAAGCTGTTGAAGATTTCGTATACTTTATGAATTGAAGTTTTTTGGGATGAGATCTGGAACTTTAGAGGAAAGTTTACAGGAAAATTCTTAAATGAAAATTGGATATTTTGATATCTAATTTCAAGAAGTTTGTTTCAATTGTCCTGTCATGTTATTTCAACGGAGATGCTTTCATTTAAGACTTCCCTTCCCTTTAGCCGATTTTATATATAATTTACCTTCGGATTTTAAATAATCTCTACGATCTTGATCTAAAATATTGTCGTATTGTACATAAGAATTATATATTGAAATAAAGTACTTTACAAAGCCCGCTATATAAGTAAATGCAAAAATGACTCCAGCCGTATAACGATTCCAGAACCAACTCATTATTTCGTATTATGTAGTTTAATTTTTAAAAGGATTAAGTAATGTTATGTTTAGTATTTGTAATATAATGGATATTAGTTGTGAAATTCCTAATGTCAACAGTTGACTGAATTGGAAAAACTCCTTACAAAGGGGGAAAACACAACGTAAAGAAGAAGAGCTGCTAAAGTAAAAGACATGCGTCAACTTAGTGCCAAAATTTGTTAAGAGTGATGTTGGCTTGTTTATGTTAAATTTTATTATTATATTAGTATTTTTTACCGTTACAAATTGATCCTTGAAATCATAATTTTTCGAGAAGTTTTCTATTTCAGTAAAATCGGCCCAAAAATAACGAAAATATGATCGAAATACAGAGAACACTCAATGTACATGCGATATTCCAATAAGTTCAAACGCAATGATAAAATCCACTAACCCTACCCAGGGGCCTTCACTTTGGAGTTATTGGAATCAGTGCCGGAAGACAAAACAGATCCGTCAGGGGATTTTTGGGGCTAAATGTTTATGTCAAATTAATGAGGTAGAAGATGAATCAGAGGCATGAATGTATCGGATGTTTTCTCTTGAATGTGCCAGATAAAAGAGTTGGATGTTTAAATGACATCGTATGACATCGTTCAATTCCTTTTCCCTTTTTTGCCGGGGCTTCATCTGTTTACTCTGGCTTCGTACTTCGGTTCACAGATTCCATTTGCCGATGTTACGCAGAGTTTGCTCAAGTATTCCAGCAAAGTGTTTATACATGATCCGGTGTCCGATATATTGCTTAGGGATCACAAGGTTGGAACGTCTCTAAATCACCCGGTGGCTGTAAGGCCCATCGTCAAATAAGGCCAACATGGCAGCTGTTAACGTAAAGCAATCCGGATTCATACCCCAAATCCTCCGAGAGCATGTTAACTAGGTGTTATTGCAGTTAACATGTCAGTAGCTCGAGTCAACTGAAACCTTAATTATTAACTCTTGCATTTGTTAGTGATTAGTGGTGAGGTTAAAACCGATATTATGTGATCATAGTTATGGTTATATTCCTGATGTTTATAGAATACAGTGATAATTCTTTCGGCTTTGCTGTAACCGTCTCAACAGATGCCGTGATAGGAAACATCGGTGCAGATGCTGGTAGGAGAATCTTCAATTAATGTAATGTCTTGTTTAGTTAATGTTCTCAACATCTCAACAAGGAAACCTTCCCCATCTCCTAGTAGCAGCCCTCCAAAAGGTAAGTAAATACACATACACGATATTTTGATATTTTCTCTAATCTGAACATTTTATTATTTAATAAGTTAATACTACATAAAATATATATATATTTATAGAATTTTTATTAAATATACATTTAAAATCAAACCACATAAAACAGCACACAACTTAATGATTGAGGTTTTTTAAAGGTTTTCTTAACATTTTTTGTTTGTTTCGTCAATAAATATCCAACTAATTTGTATACGTTTATTTTACTTATAAATCTATATAAAAACGACATCGATTGCATTCGTTGTTAATTTACAAAACAAAAAAACAAAAACAAACCAACAAAAATTAATAATAATTTATTAATTGTTCAAAATACTTTTTAACATTATCCACTCTTTGTAATCTGTTATTTACCCAAACCCACCCACATATAATTGGGATCTATAAACTGTGAGCTATGATCCCATTGACCATGTGGATTCATGGCCACCAATGAACGTATCTTCTGTGATGGCCGATAGAAACGTATGGCTTTAATCCATTCTGCAGTTTGTTGATCGGTTGCTGCATTCGGTTTGGTTAGATGATGTTGTATATTGCCAAAATTTGGATCACCCTCGAGTAGTTTTTGTTCTTCGGAATTCCATTGATACTGTTCGCTGACGTGAACATTTTTGGAAAGGTCGCGAAAAAATTTACCCAAATTTGTCATGGCACCTGGCGAGAAGGGAATTGAAAGAGAAAAAAGTTTTGATATTATTTATTTTTTATATATAAATAAAACTTAGTTTATTAATGGACCAGAAAACTAGGCATGCATCTCTAAAAGAACTTAATTACATCAAGTTTTCGAGATATCGTGTCCTAAATTTTGAAACCCGTGTGTTTTTGCTTATTTTCCTGAGGCCAGGTTCGGATTTAGCGCTGATCAATTCATTAGAAATTAGTACTTAAGTCTCTGGGTTTCAAATTTTTTCAAATTTTGTTGGCCCGTGTAATTTTATTGTAGACCAACTGAGATCAGCATGTATTGAAATAACCGACTCTTTTAGAACTAGTCCTTTAGTCCTAACCACCTTCACATAATGGCAGCACAACGAATCTTAAAGCATCCGTATGATGAAAATAGAAACTTATGGATAGCTTACTGCCCTTAGAACGTAGTGACATCCTAAACACATATACTAACAGAATTTATACAGATGGTTCCAAAATTAAGTGCGATATTGTTTCTGGTGTTTGGATAGGAATTAGGGTTTTATAAATCGACTTTCGAATAATCGAATTGTTGAAAAAAGTCGAAAAGTCGATGTCGACTATTTTGTTCCAAAAAAGTCTATAACTCGACTATCGTCTATGAAAAAAGTCGAAAAGTCGATTTTGTAAATGAAAGTCGGAAAGTCGAAAAAAGTCGGAAAAAGTCGAAAATAGTAGAAAAAAGTCAAAAATAGTCGAAAATTAAAAAAAAGTGGAAAAGAAGTCAAAAACTCGAAAAAGTCAAAAATAGTCGAAAATAGTCAAAAAGTAAAAAAATATCGAAAAGTCGGAAAAAGTTAAAAAAGTCGGAAAGTTGGAAAAAGTCGACTATTTATAAAATACTAAAAGTCGAAAAGTCTAAAAGTCGACTTTTTATTAAATGAAAAAGTCAAAAAGTCGACTTTTAACTAAATGCAAAAAGTCGACTTTTCGTTTCTACTATAGAACCCTAATAAGAATCTCTCAACGTCTTCCGACATCTTTCATTAAACTCTTATACTAACGCATCCCTATTGGTTAGACAATGCTAGAATGATTTGCCAATGCTGGGTCCTCTGTCTGTCATTACTCTAGTTTTGGTCTTTGTCTGTTCATTCCCTGGAAATAAACAGGCAGGTGAGCTAGCCAGATATCTTAAACGTTGTATCGGTGTAATAATTTTAAAGCATGTAGAGGATTTAAGTTAATACAGAACGTACTTATAAACCGAAATAGGGGGGATATATCGCGGTTGCTGGCAGTAATAACTGAACGTTGTTTGTTAGACAGTTTTGTTGCAGTTATAATGAGATAGGAAATAATTTTCTAACTTCTCTGCTAATGCCCTGCCATATGCGTCAAGAGGGATAGATATGGAAGAATAATTTTGACACATGTAGGGGTGAAGTTAATAAGGATCGCACTAGGTAACTTGTAATCCGAAATAAGAGGTTGCTGGCAGTAATAACAGAACACAGTTTGTTACACAGATCTGAAAGTTGGCTGTACAATGACAGAGAAAATGGTTTTCCACTCTCTCCACAAATGTCCTGCTCTACACAGAGGGAAAAAGAAATATACACGCTTGGTACCAAATTGGCACCAAAGAGTTTGTAATTTTTCAATAACAACCGTTGTCAAAGTATATACATACGTACGACAACACTATGTCGCAACGTTGTCAACATTGCAACAATTCGTTGTCGAAATCTAAATTTTTTACACATACGTTGTCTAAATGTTAACAAACGTGGTAAGCTCACTATTGGCAACGGATTGTTTGCAATAGTGAACTTACCACGTTTGTTAACATTTAGACAACGTATGTGTAAAAAATTTAGATTTCGACAACGAATTGTTGCAATGTTGACAACGTTGCGACATAGTGTTGTCGTACGTATGTATATACTTTGACAACGGTTGTTATTGAAAAATTACAAACTCTTTGGTGCCAATTTGGTACCAAGCGTGTATATTTCTTTTTCCCTCTGTGTACACTTCAAAAGGAATAGGTTCTGAAAGAATCAACCATCAATTTAGATAAGTATCTCACATTCATATCCCTACAGTTCAGGGGAACAGACCCGAACTAGTTGTTTGACAATTACAGCATGTGTTTGTCCGAAGAGGACGTCTATCATCACTTTATAGTTTACAAAAGAAACTGCAGAAAGGTAGTCCAGAGGAGTCAGTACATGGCAATAAACCTTTTCTTTATTACTTTTTAGATTACTTGGGGATAGTGGCTACTGACTGCGCTCTCTATTACAAAAGGGACTTTAAAATGATGACTGTTTACACTCTCACAAAGTGTACATTCGTAACGAAAGACGAATTAGAGCGCAGCTGGTAGTTAGACGTTTTAGTAGCACGATGACACTTTTATTTATCAAAAATCTTCTGTAATCTGAAAGTCCAAACTGTCGACTGGACTATAGAGTAGTCTATAGTCTAGACTATAGAGTAGTCTATAGTCTAGACTATAGAGTAGTCTATAGTTTGGGCTATAGATTAATCTACAGTCTGGACAATAGAGTAGTCCATAGTCTGGTCAATAGAGTAGTCTATAGTCTGGACAATAGAGTAGTCTATAGTCTGGACTATAGAGTAGTCTATAGTTTGGGCTATAGATTAGTCTATAGTCTGGACAATAGAGTAGTCTATAGTCTGGACTATAGAGTAGTCTATAGTCTGGACTATAGAGTAGTCTATAGTCTGAACTATAGAGTAGTATATAGTCTGGACTATAGAGTAGTCTTGTATTTATCAAAAATCTTCTGTCATCTGAAAGTCCAAACTGTCGACTGGACTATAGTGTATTCTATAGTCTGGACTATAGAGTAGTCTATAGTCTGGACTATAGAGTAGTATATAGTCTGGACTATAGAGTAGTCTATAATCTGGACTATAGAGTAGTCTTTAGTCTGGACTATAGAGTAGTCTAAAGTCTTGACTATAGAATAGTCTATAGTCTGGACTATAAAGTAGTCTATAGTCTGGACTATAGAATAGTCTATAGCCTTGGCTATAGAGTAGTCTATAGTCTGGACTATAGAGTAGTTTATGGTCTTGGCTATAGAGTAGTCTATAGTCTTGGCTATAGAGTAGTCTATAGTCTTGGCTATAGAGTAGTCTATAGTCTTGGCTATAGAGTAGTCTATAGTCTTGGCTATAGAGTAGTATATAGTCTTGGCTATAGGGTAGTATATAGTCTTGGCTATAGAGTAGTATATAGTCTTGACTATAGAGTAGTCTATAGTCGGGACTATAGAGTAGCCTATAGTTTGGACAATAGAGTAGTCTATAGTTTGGACAATAGAGTAGTCTATAGTTTGGACTATAGGGTAGTTTATAGTCTGGACAATAGAGTAGTCTATAGTCTGGACTATAGAGAAGTCTATAGTCTGGACTATAGAGAAGTCTATAGTCTGGACTATAGAGTAGTTTTGTATTTATCAAAAATCTTCTGTCATCTGAAAGTCCAAACTGTCGACTGGACTATAGAGTGGTCTATAGTCTGGACTATAGAGTAGTCTATAGAGTAGTCTTTAGTCTGGACTATAGAGTAGTCTATAGTCTGGACTATAGAGTAGTCTATAGTCTGGTATATAGAGTAGTCTAGACTGTAGAGTAGTCTATAATCTGGACTATACAGTAGTCTATAGTTAAAAAGTTTAACATCTGTTATATCTTCACCCTTCTTCATGATATTGATGAAGAACTTCTGATAAAAGATTCGGATTCACCATAGCTCAAGTATATTTGGGTGTTAGGTTTTAAAATTTGTTGGCCTTTGTAATTATTAACGCATTCCTATTTCAAAATAATAGCAATTAAACTTACAGTTAACGTGTAAAACTAATTACCAATATAAAAATGTAAATTAAAACGATTAAATATTAACCCTACATAACATATCTCTATAATCAGGGAAATTAAGAAAACATAATTTATTTCCTTTTGCTAATAACTTGCACTTACCTCCACTGACAGCTGGCAAAAATGGCGTATGAACAATTGATGGTTTAGCACGTTTGTCATACGGTTTAAAGACACTCTTCCTTATCAGATAGTTGGTTTGAGTGTATGAATGTTGTTTGTCAGACGAATCCCTATTATGGTCATTGTCATTACGTTGAGCCATCTTGTAATTAGTATTTACAACGTTATTGTCAGCATAATTTAAATTTTCATTTCCGTTTCCGTTGCTGTTAGCAATACAATTTTTATCGACAGCAACGCCAACACTAACGTCCTCCTCCTCAGTCGAAGTATTGTCCTCATCAATGGTTTCATCGACATCATTTACATTATTTGAGGTGTTGTCATCCTTTACAGGAAATAAATTCTTCTTCAAATCATCATCTTCATTGGCGTAAGTTTTTTTGTTTTTTGTTGTTCTAGCATCTTGTTCTTTAGTTTTGAAATGTTTTTCCATTAGAATTGGTAGCATTTCGTTTTGTTTGTAACGGATATTTGTCATAGTGGAAGATCCTTGTTTGTCATCAGCATCCCCTTCAAACCCATGACCATCTCCTTCGTTACTATGAACAATTACAAATTGTTGTAAACTATGACGTCGTTGTTTAATGTCATTGTCATTATTGCCATTGGCTTTTATGTTTTGATGCTTTAGTTTTGGCCAAATTGCATTTTTTATTTTATAACTACCAAAATCATTTAAATTTTCAAAAGTAATTTCTCCTGATGTCATAGAATTTCCGTTGTTGCCTTTGGTTTTTGCTGTTGTAGTTGTTGTTGCTGTTATTAGGGGAAAACGTTTATAATAATAGTTTTTATCCCATGTCTGCCACAATGGTGTTGCAACAGCATTACGTTCATTTAACAGTTCATCCGTATAGTCATCAAATATTTGATATGTATATGGTTTCATTAACAAAGTAGGGGCCACAACTGCACCATTTGCATCCACATTCATACTACTGCCACACACTTGCTGCAACACTATTCAAAAACAACAATACAAAAACACAATCAAACTCATTATTAACATCACACTATATAAAATTATATCGATTAAATAGTTTTTTTTTTTTTGCTACAATTTCAATGTGTTCGTTTAAGCGTTTGAGTCTATTAAAATAATGTCCTTTTTAATGCTAAAATTCATTATTATCAAAACGGCAACATTCATCTATTGTTAATTTTCTTTGTCATATTTATGTTATTTTTTTTAGCATATATTTATGTACCTTTATCTTTTATTTAATAAGTTTGTAAATTTTTACTACATGTTCCGCATATGCACACTAAACCTGCTTCTAAAAACTTTTGTTAAATTACATATAAAATACCTGTATATTATTTTTTGATAGGGCAAGTCTAATGTGCAAATAAATAAATTAAAAGTAACCCTAATTGTTTTAAATCGACTGTCAATTAAGATAAAATTAAAAAATAAAAAAAAAATGTATTCGGGCTGTGCAGAATCTTACATACCCTTTATGATGTGTTAACAAAAAAAACTATCAGTACGAATTTTAATACAAATATATCACAAAAAATACCAGTTGTCCTCTTTTATAGATTTTCATTCAATCAGGGCTCTGAGTGTTTAATTCGATTATAAAGTAGTTTATAGTCTGGACTTTAGAGAAGTCTATAGTCTGGACTATAGAAAAGTCAACAGTCTGGACTATAGAACAGTCTATAGTCTGGACTATACAACGGTCTATAGTCTGGACTATAGAACAGTCCATAGTCTGGACTATAGAACAGTCTATAGTCTGTACTATAGGGTAGTCTATAGTCTGGACTATAGAGTAGTCTTTAAACTATAGGAATATAGAGTAGTCTATAGTCTGAACTATAGAACAGTCTATAGTCTGAACTATAGAACAGTCTATAGTCTGAACTATAGAACAGTCTATAGTCTGAATTATAGAACAGTCTATAGTCTGAACTATAGAACAGTCTATAGTCTGGACTATAGAATAGTCTATAATTTGGACTACAGAGTAGTCTATAGTCTGGGCTATAGAGTAGTCTATAGTCTGGGCTATAGAATAGTCTATAGTCAGGACTAAAGAACAGTCTATAGTCTGGACTATAGAACAGTCTATAGTCAGGACTATAGAACAGTCTATAGTCTTGACTATAGAACAGTCTATAGTCTGGACTATAACACAGTTCATAGTCTGGACTATAGAGTAGTCTATAGTCTGGACTGTAGAGTAGTCTATAGTCTGGGCTATAGAGTAGCCTATAGTCTGTACTATAGGGTAGTCTATAGTCTGGACTATAGAGTAGTCTTTAAACTATATGAATATAGAGTAGTCTATAGTCTGAACTATAGAACAGTCTATAGTCAGGACTATAGAACAGTCTATAGTCAGGACTATAGAACAGTCTATAGTCAGGACTATAGAACAGTTTATAGTCTGGACTATAGAACAGTCTATAGACTGGACTATAGAACAGTCCATAGTCTGGACTATAAAACAGTTTATAGTCTGAACTATAGAGTAGTCTATAGTCTGGACTATAGAATAATCTACAGTCTGGACTATAGCGAATAGTCTATAGTCTGGACTATAGAGTATTGTATGGTCTGGACTATAGACTACTCTATAGTCCAGACTATAGAGTAGCCTATAGTCAGAACTATAGAGTAGTCTATACTCAGAACTATAGAGTAGTGTATAGTTAGAACTATATAGTAGTCTATAATCTGGACTATAGAGGAGTCTATAGTTTGCATTATAGAGTATTCTACAGTCTGGACTATGGAGTAGTCTGGACTATAGAGTAATCTATAGTCTGGACTTTAGGACTTTGAATATTTTATTTTATGTTTCTAGTTTCAGTATTATAGAAATTCCGGAAAGAACCTTTTTTAAAACGAAAAGGTACCAAAAAGTCCCCTTTTATAAGTTTTCACTTGCTCCTGGCTCTACATACTAATTTGTATATTTCTAGGGTCAATATTATAGAAAATTCCAAAAGTATCTTTTGAAGAACGAAAAGGTGTGATCTTTTGATCACTGTTTAAACCTAAATTTTATTAAAATCAGCATTAAGCGTAACAAATATAACTAAAATATTTCTATTAACCACGTCCCCTTTTAAAATCGTAAAAGTATATACTATAATGTTTGAAATAATTAGCATTGTTTTACTAAATTACTAACAAAATAATAGTGAAAAGTGGGCGTAATGTTTTTTTTTTTTTTTTTTTGTAGGCATGGTTATCATAAGAATTACTTATATGAGTTTATGGTATTGATTTTAATACATTTAAAAAATTGTTTTTAAAATTTACTGAAATTTTTCATTTATGGGCAAAAGTTTTATATACAAAATGAAGGCGTGTCATTATTATAACTACGCCTACTTATTTTGCTCTTATAATATTCAGTTTGTTTATTATTAAGTTATTCCTCTCTAACAAAAAACAAATTTTGTGAAAGACTCTATATAGGGTAATGGTGGCAAATATGGGCCGATCCCCATAAAATTTGGTAGATGGATTTATGATTTCAAATAATTCTTTTCTTCATCGAGATATAAGTGCTTATAAGGGTATAGTGGACATTCAATTCATTTTCTAAATATTGTAATGGGTTATTTCGAAATTTTACTCAAATGTTCATTATTAATGGTCGGATTTTGCTGATTTTAAATTTGAAACTCCTCGAACTTTCCTTTAGAATTATAAAATTTTCACTTGGATTATTGTTATGTATAAAAGTTTATAAACTTAAATTTTTATAGTTTTTTTCTTAAACTAACAAAAGTTTTGCACAGATTAGGATATATTATTCGTACCTTTCACCACAAATATCCATAGATAAATCGTTCC